GGATGGTGGGCAAGCTTGAACTGTGCACTGGCCATCGCGCATCGCCTACGGGTCATGAGCAACCTGGTGCCGCAGGAGGAGGATGAGAAGGCTTGGGCATATCTGAAAAACGCCATGGCAGTATTTCCAGAGCTAACTATGCGGAACACGGATTTACTAAGTGTGCAGGCTCTGCTTGGCATGGCGTTGTTCATGCAAGGAACACCAAATCCTCAGCCCACCTCCCTCTTGATTGCTGCCGCCATTAGGCTTTCGCACAGTATCGGACTTCATAAACGTGGAACGGGATTCAACTTGAACCCCATCGAAATCGAACAACGAAAGAGAGTATTTTGGATTGCATACATGCTAGACAAGGACCTATGCCTTCGATCTGGACGGCCAGCTGCACAAGATGATGACGATATGAATGTGGAGCTTCCGGACGCCAACCCCCCCGACAATATTGGAAACATCCCTCTGGCGGACGGAAAGGGCAAAATGAACCTCTTCCGTGTTATTTGTGAATTTACTGTTATTGAAAGTAATGTTTACAAGCGGCTGTACTCGACAAAAGCGACGAAACAATCCGATGGAGAGCTTTTGAATACTATCGGTGAACTGGACCAGGAATTGGAGGAATGGAAGGACAGAATTCCCGTTGACTTTCGACCGGAACATGAGATAAAGGCGTCCCATACACCGTTGATATTGCATGTTGTCATGCTCCATTTCACATACTACAATTGTTTGACGACTATTCATCGCATGTCAATTCACCATGGTTATTGGACAAGCAGACTGTCAAACTACGCCATTCAAGGCTTGAATTCGAGGCCTCTGAATCCAAGGGTTTTCTCTTCTGCTCAACTGTGCACAGCAGCCGCTCGAGCCTCAATCTCTCTGCTGAAATATGTCCCACAAGGTGACTTTTCATGCGTTTGGTAAGTCATAGTCTTAATGACAGGACAGGTACAGAGCTAACAATACATGACCAGGCTCATTCTTTACTTTCCCGTGTCAGCACTCATGACTTTGTTCAGCAACATTCTTCAAAATCCCCTTGACCCCCGTGCCAAGTCTGATACAAAGTTGATGGACCTTGTTGTTACATTCTTATCGATGCTGGGCCAAGAGGCTGAACAGGGAGGCGTGCACCGCATGCTCGGCATATGCTCCGAATTCGTACGCATCTCCAAAGTGGTGATTGAAAGGGCAGAAAAGGAGCAGTCTTCTAGGCGAAAGCGTAAGAATGTAGACTCGGGATCGAAAAACAGCACTGTAACAAATTCTTCCAGCAAGCCATCTGTACAGAGTACGCCGGGCGAGACAGCATCCTCAGAAACGCCCAGACCTACCACCGCGACAACACCCACGCCAACGCCACACAATCTTTCCATCTCTTCTGCCTCCAGAGATGCGCTGGCAAGTCTCACGTCAACCAGTCCAGCAGACAGAAGAGGTTCGTTTGATCCTTCAGCAGTCATGTCGATGAATAGTCAATCTCCCTCTGGCGGCTCAACCAGCTGGCAGCAAGAGTTGCAACCTCCTCAAAATGGAGACTTTGACTCATACAACAACATGAATGCCTTTGGTGCCATTGGTGTGTCCCCGCCACCCGTACCACTGACGGCTCGGCCTTTTGCGCAGCCCCTGCTCCCACAAGACTTGTTCGGTCTTCCAGCGACGTTGGATTGGAGCTGGGCCGAAATGAGCGGCGGTGCCTACCCGTCAGTTGAGAATGGGAACTATGGTGGCGAGCAACCAGATCTGTCCACAACTGGCGCATAGTGCGTGGAATCACCTCCGAGGTGTTGAGATGTCTGCTTCGTTACGTCCTTGTGTTTCAGCATGAGCACCTGATGCCCCATTAATGGTAACCCATGATATTGGACGCAATATTCTGAATGAGACAATGTGAGATGACGGAGTTGAAGGACAACCAGGCATAGAGTTTTTGTTTCTTTTGGTGTATTTGGATCATGGATAAAATCTCTCCTTTATGGTTTAGTTATATACAAGTGTACATTAATACCTCTCAAGCACCGACCATGCCCGGGCCGTAACTTTGTTGACGCATGAGAGCATTAGGTGGCGACGCTGCCGTGTTCTTCAAGGCCATGTCAGACGATAGTGACTCGTTGCCATTTGTGCTGTCATAACCTACTTTTTTCCGACGCTTTTGACCGCCCTCGCCTTCTCCCGTAGAGTATCCAGTATCCATGCCTCCGTCGTCGTCGGGGTATCCTTCGCCATACCCTTCGAAGCTGCTATCGCCATATGATCGCTTCTTGACATTCCTCCGAGGTCGGTTGGGGTCCTGCCCAGCAAGAATCGGAGGTTTTGGTCGACCTATCGTATTGGGTGTTGAAGCTAGTGGGGTGCCCGGCGCTGATGGCTTCGCAGAGATTGGTTTTGACGCATTGCCACTGGACGGTGCCAAGTCTCCCAGCACCGACGAGTCCCAGACCGGCTTGGGTATGGGCCCCTTGGACATGTTCATGGCACGGCCAAGGTTCGAGAGCGTCGTCGCGGATAAGCCGTCGGTGATTTCGCGACCTTTGACCTGATGGACGTTCCACTCCAGCTCGGGGACCTGGAGGATCGCCATGAACTCTGAGGGCGCGTCTTCCTTCTTCTTCTGGACGTCGAAATGACCGGCTACCCCTAATCGCTTTATGTGACCCTTGTATGTTTTCCGCAAGGCGTTCTTCTCCCCGTTGGGCTTCTCTCGCGCTACTTCGGCGGCGAGGCTGGTGAGGCCGCACATCTCGTACAGGTCTTGGGCTATCCTGGTGAGAGGCTCGGGATGTGCTGCATCAAGATTAACAACAGGACCCTTCTCCCAGAGAGACGACCGACGACAGCCTTGGACCATGGGCACGGGCAGAGGAGCAGGGCAAGGGTCACGTACGTGTTCTGCAGAGAAGGTATTTCTCCCCGACGTCCAGGTGCAGGTCCTCAATACCCAACCGGCTATCCCCGAGATGCATCTTCTTCTGGTCGCGGTCGCGGTCACCGGTATCGCCTAGCGAGCGCTTTCGTTTATGCGGTGAGTCGTCGGACATGGCTTGTTGGGCTGCGAGGGCGACGAGGTTTGCGATTGCTGCTCCGCTGGCCGACGTATTTTGTAACAAGGAGTGAGGAATGGTGATGCAGCCGGTGGTGGAGGACGGAGCATATGGAGCGCTCAGGTGGAGGCTCGCGCTCTGGGAGCAGATGTCCGATAAAAGCGGGGCACTGGCCAGCGTTGTGGAGCTGGGCGGATTTGCCTGGAAGTACTCCGTACTAGTACTAGTACTCCATGCTAGAGAGGTTCGGTTTCTTTTGTTCAGGTTGTCAAGTTCACTCAGGCTGTGAATGGACAGCCGGGGCCTTATATGTACACATGCCCGAAGCCTGAACTTTATCCAAAGAGTTCATCACGCATTTAAGCATCCATCGCAGTGAAGGTTTACTCGCCCCGAGCCGTCGAAAGGATGCAGATGCGGCAGCCGCTAAAGTTACTCCGTATTCCAAATCGGGCGCAGGGTTCCTTGGCCAATTTGGGATAGAGAGACTAGGTACTAGTCTGTTCAGCGACACGCGACAAGTCACATGATGCCATTCTTGTGGCGAACGTATTTCGCACTGGTGGGGAACTAGCGTGAAACAACTCTTTTTTTTTCTCCTTTCCAAACAAACAAGACCACTACTCGCAAACAAATCGCAGTTTGCCCTGACTTTGCTCAACCATGACGCTACTGACGATCTCGAGCCGTGGTCGAGAACAACCCTCAACCTTGCCTAAAACCATCATCACGAGGGCCCCTCGTGCGGCTACCATGATGCGGTGATGACCTGATGCAAGTGACATTGTACGACAGCCTTTGTTTGTCCACCTTGAACAATTGCTGGGTAGCTTTGCCTGTGCGTCTTGCTTTCTGGATGCTGCTGTCTCGAACAAATCTGTCCTCCTGGACCCTCGCAAAGCACTCTGTTTATTTCCATTAAACTAGGTCTGGATAGCCATTGTGCATGGCTGTGGACATATGTTCTCGAGCTGGTAAGTCCACTGTGATGACAATCCCATGTCCTCACTCGTAGTGATGAAATGTTCATCTCTGGTAAACCTATCAGCCATGATTGTAGTCGATGGCCTTGATTGTGTGCATTGTCACACACTACAGGCCATCAACCGCTTGGTTGTGGGAGGAAATTGGCATGTCTGAACAAGATTATACCCAATTGGTCATGTGCAGCCATTGGAGCAGCCCAAGCTGACCAGTGGTTCGTCCAGATAGAAAATTGAGGTAACGGCGGCTTGAGCCTGATTCAACACGGCTCCCAGCTTTGACGCACAATTTACGGGACAAACACCCCGATGAGAAGCATACTGTAATGACATGGTGTTCACACAAGTACCATCCATTCACAGCTGACATTTTGGTATTCCACGAGCGGAACATTCGAGAACATCCTGTGGCACATGTTCTAAGCTAGGTTCTTTGGTGGCATTGGCCACCATGCGCCCTATCCAGCAGCACGTCTATGCTCCTATCTTTATGTTCTATACCTCCGAGGTATAGATTGCCACCGGCCTAAAGTCATGGCATGTGCGGCAGCCCAGGCCTATACGCTAACAAAAGATTTGTTCCGCCGGCCATGAAAGGAGAACAAACCCCAACTGTAGTTAATGGCATAACTGCGTTGTGGGGGCCATTGAAGCTCGACAGAACAGCGTTTGAACCGTAGCCATTGTACCTCTCTGAAGGCCGTATTTGTTCCGTAGCAAAAGAGCTCTGCTCCCTAGACAACGATTCGAAACTCGGGTCTGCATCGTGCCCAAGATGACAAGCAGTATCTGTCCTCTGCCCTGGGTTGAGCCCATTGACACAGGGATGCATGAACATCTTTCAGGGCAGGACCAGTCCGCTTGCTCCCAACTAGACAAAGACTGCCCCGTCGATTCTCACGGATACCATCTCAGCCGTGAACAGCAATCGAGATGAGTTCAAAGTCATGCCCTCATGGCCCCTTGCTCAGCCCATTCTAGGCTTCCGTCTCACCCATACCGTCCTATCCCGAGCGTTCACATCATCACCCCCTCTGCGATCAACGACCGTGACCCCATCCTTGTCGCGCAATTGAACCTCCCAGACGGCAAGCTTGTAAGCGGCGCGGTCCGCCGTGCCAGTAAACAGGTCAAACGACCAGCCGTGTTTCGGGCACGACAGCCCAGCACTAAGGACAACTCCGAAATCCTCAATGTCGAACGGGATCCCATTCGATAGAGGATACGACTGGTGCGGGCAACGCTGCACGTTTTCCCTCCCGCCCTCATTAGCCAGCGACATTTCTTGGTCGTGAAAAAAAGGGGGTCTGTATCGGGGAAAAACTCACATGGTCTACTGCGTGGAAGTTGCCTCGGTACTGAAACACCAGGACTTGATCTTTCAGCTCGTCTCTCACGACAGGCGACTCCAGACTCTCGGGGGAGACGTGCATCTCGGATGCCTGCGAGGGCTGGTCTTTGGGGACGTGGAAGATTTTGCACCCTGGCGTGAGCTGGGCGTCGCAGAGCCGCGGCCGGATGAGGCTGTCGGCGTCTTCGCCCAGATTCGGGAACGACGATGCCGGGCCGGCGGAGATCCAGCTTGTGTCCGGACGGGATCTGAGCCAGTTCATTTCCGAGGGCTTTGGTCGGGCGCTGCCTTGGGCTGGGAGGGTGTTGGAAGAGGCAGGCAGCGTCGACTTGGTGGTGCTCCCGACGCCGTCGGCACTGTGGAACCCCTGATCGCTGGGCTGCTTGTCCCTCCCGCGCGAGAGGGTGAGGCCGCCGGAATGGCAAAATACCCATATAGTACACGTCTTTGGTGGAAAATTAGCTAATTCCAACGGATATGTAGGCGCCGCAGATATGGGGGTTTTGTCAAGTGGTGCGCAGGACTTGGAAAGGAGCGCTGGGTCTTTGATGCTGTTGAGACTTGGCCATGCTGCTGCATATCCCGATTGCAACATGGCGACATGGCCGAGAGGACCAGGACCGTCGGGATGCGGCAAGGAAAAGAAAGCATCAACCACGTGTCTAGTCGATTGGAAATATGGCTCAAGAAATTTACATATAAAGACATGGCTTGAACCAATGCAGAGTTTCAGCATGGTACCAGAAGTCATATGCAAGACACGCCCAAGTCATGGGTTGAGCAAGTCTTGATATCAATACAACACCTTAACAATAAGATGGCTAATAAGATGATTGACATATGAGGTAAAGTGGCACCACGTTTGCAATATAAAACGCCTAAACACATTTATACGCCCGCGAGGGTATCGCAACTACATTATGAATTATGAACTACCTCTAGCTTGTAGCAGTCTCTGGTTTCTGCGCGAACGCATTCGTCCTATAAACGCATTAGCACACTGAGCTTGTGGAAAAAAGAGTCGAATAAAGCAGGCATGCTTACACAAGATAATACGGCCGGCTCTTAGTATGCCGCAGCGCAGTTCGCATCTCGGCCAAGAAGACCTGGACGCGTGCGTACTCCCAGCCCATGATCTCTCTCAAGAGGAACAACGCAAATCCCTCCAGGCTGTCTTCCATAAAGGTCAAATTGTACAATCCAATCTGTTTGTAGGTGTAGTCGGTACTCCAAGCGCCCACCGGCACCTGGTAATACTTTTGAGTGATGTGTTCGAACCCCGCTTCGCGCATGTATCGCGTCATGCGGCCGTTCATGCCGATTCGCAAGCTCTTGCCCATCCGGTCACCCGCCTCCATGAAGACGGTGCCCCAGCGCTTGAAGATGTGATCTGGGTCGTCTCTGATTTCGGGCAAGTCGCTGTGCAGGGTGATGGTGAATTCGAAGTCTTCCAGCCATCCGCCGGGTTTGAGGGCCGTGTACGCCTGGTGGTAGAGTCGCGGCCAGTCGCTGATGCTACCGTATAGGGCGCGCATGTGGATGAAGTCAAAAGTGGAGGGGTTGAAGGTCCAGTCGAGCTGGGCGTCTTCGATCTCAAAGGTCAGATTTTGAGGCACCCAGACTGGTTGGATGGGGCTGATGTCTGTGCCGATGATCTCAGAGGACGGGTAGGCGTCGGCCATGTCGATGGCCCAGATGCCCGTTCCGGTGCCAACGTCGAGGACTTTGGTTGGCCTCTCGGGGATTGGCGCCTCGAAGAGTCGGTCGCCCAGGAGTAGGGTAATAAAGTGGTGGGCAATGTCAAGCCCTAGGTTTTGTGTGTCATCATTTGGACCCCAGTATTCAGTGGTGCTGGAGTTCTGGTACGTGCGACCATGGAGGTTGCGGTAGTTGTAGATGCTTTCGTTGAGGGAAACAGTCGATGACAGAATACTTTGCGATTCAGTTAGAAGATTGAGTGGGATTGCCAATGAACAATATGGCCCGTTCGTACCTGTCCTCCTCGCCCAGCGCTGAGTCGGTATCGTCATCAGTCCATCTCTACAGATTGATTGGGAGTCAGTTTTCGTCCTTGGCAGCTGAATTGGCACGGGTCAATTCGTACAAACGGGATTTGCGTATTGGTAGGGCGGTCGTCGGCAAGCAAGGGAGGCGCAGGGTCGCCCGCAGGTGAGAGAGGCTTGGGCGACGGAGACTGCTTCGCCTTGTCTGGCATCTTTGGGCTCGACATGATGTCGGTCGCTTCGTGATCTACCACGAAGTCGAAGAACGGGGGGTTTGCTCTGTGGCTTTTGAGAAGCGCATGATAGGACAACCCGTGTGAGAATGCCTATCTGAACAAAGTCGCAGCGAAGCGGTTGAGGTTGGGCCGTTTTCCCGCGTTGCCCGTCAATAGTCTTTTGCTTTGCTCAAGGTCGTAAGCAAAAAGGTAGTCGAGACGATGATGGGTGGTGTAGATGACAAACAGTCGAGCAACGATGGGGGATTTGACTCAAATTACCCAATCAGTCCCTCGCCGATGGATACGCAAGCTGGTCCGTCCCTCGTGTCTTGTGTTTCCCGTGCCAAGTGTTCCAGACCAGTCATTGCACCTTTTCAGTTTCTGGAGTGTGTGCCACGAGTATTACATCCGACCGGCACCAGCACCAGGCCACCGACAGGTAACGGCTCTTGATGTGGAAACGGCGGCGGCCATGAGCCAAGATTTGGTTGTGGGCGTCAGCTAGACTATGTGGCGCTTCTGTCCGTCTCTCATAAATCAATGTCTCGGGTAAAGTTTGCATCTATGCACGATACAGAAGTCTGCATGAGGTTGCAGTCACCAACAAAGTCCACAATGCCCAGGGTGGGGCAAGAATCGACTTTCGGAACGCCATACAGCCAATGACGACAAATAAAGTGGAGTCTGCACCCATCGAACCAACTGACACTCTTAGCCAACCAATAGGATGGAACTGTGGTGCCGCTAAGGAAAAGCTAAACCGCATTTTGCTTTGCAGAACAAGAGAAGAGTTATCCAAGGTTTTGCGGCGCTGTGCCGATATGTTGCCACCATTCCTGCTTAACCGATCAGCCCATTGTCGGTTTCAGCTCGCAGAGACGTTGCAGCGGCCTCGTGGTCCGGCTGGGAAACAAACATCGCCATGCGAATCTCCAGGAGGCAAGGGGCTCCGCGAGTCCACCATGCAGAAACCATGCTGCCACTGGCTGCCAATGGCAACACGCATGTCTGAAAAGTGTCTAGTTGTGGTTGGACGGTAATAGCTGCATCAACCCATGTCGACAGGGAAGCCATTCGATCCACGCCTTCGGGGCCACTGTTCCTATACCGTGCCCTTGGTCCGGGACTCATGGGGCGAGGTGCAAATCCGCGGGGAGGATATTGTATGAGCGTGGAAATGGTTGGAGATTTTTTTTCACTCTCGGCATCGCATTCCATATCCGTCAGTCCGTGTGCTGATTTTGTCGTGATGCAGCTGACATCGCTGGCGCTGGGCCTCATCGGCCTGTATATTCTGAGACTGACATGGCAGTTTTTCAAGCTCAGAAGATTCGCGGGCCCGCCATGGACCGGACTTAGCAATGTTCCTCACAGTCGAGCCATGCTTCGCGGGGACTGCCACAGGTGGTATGCCGATGTGAACAGGAAATACGGTCAGTAGTATCACATCCATCCAGCTGCTGCCAAATTGTTCATCTTGGTGACTCGGGACATCATCAGGACCCATTGCGAGGGTAGCCCCAAATGTCCTCATCACCTCGTCTCCAGAGGTTTGGACACACGTAAACAACACTCCGGGGTACCGACGCTCGCCGTGGTACTACAACGCATGCCGCATCGAGTATCGCCGCGATAATGTCTTTAGTGAGACTGACAACGAAAAGCACGACCGGAGGAGAAAGCAAATGGCCCCCGGCGTATGTCGATATAACCCCTTCATCCACACGTTACCCAAGACAAGGGCCTTGGGGGGAGGCATTGAGTAAATCCCACTGACGACGGCCTTCGACAGTACTCTGGCAGAGAGAACCTTGATCTCGAAGCCTCCATAGACGAATGTCTCACCCAGCTCATGCATCTTATCCGTAGTAAATATGTCTCGTCCACAGATAATGCACCGCACATGGATCTAGCCACAAAAATCCAATTCTTCACCCTCGACGTCATCAGCAAGGTCGGGCTCGGCACGGCTTTTGGCATGCTACAAGCCGACCACGACATCGACGACTATCTCAAGTCCAGCGCCGAAGGTCTCACCATTGGTAACACAGCCTTGGCCATGGGTTTCAGCTGGCTCGCCCACTCGCCCTTCATCGGCAAATTCATCGCCCCTTCGCCCAAGGACAACAGCGGGTTTGGCAAGATGATGGCCACGTGTTTCCGGTACGTGGACCAGCGCGCCGCCAACCCGACAGACAAGCGGTCCGACATGCTTGCGTCGTTTATCCGACACGGCCTGTCTGGCGACGAGCTGAGGACCGAGGCTCTGGAGCAGATCATCGCAGGGTCCGACACCACGGCCACGGGTATTCGGGCGACACTGCTTCACATCATGACCAATCCGCGCGTCTACGCCAAGCTGCAGCGTGAGATTGACGATGCCGTGCGTGATGGCCGGGCGCCCGCGCCCGGAGACGGTCTCATATCTGCCACGCAGGCGAAGCAGCTTCCCTACCTGCAGGCTGTTATGCGGGAGGCCCTGCGCGTTCACCCTCCCGTCACCAACATCTTTTCTCGTGACGTCCCGGCGGCCGGTGACATGGTAACCATTAGCAGCAGCGATGGAACGAAGATCTTCTTGCCTGGCGGTGTGTCTATTGGCTACTCGGCATACGCCATGCACCACGACAAGGAGATCTACGGCGACGATGCGGACGCTTTCCGGCCGGAGCGTTGGTTCGAGGCAGATGAGGCTAAATTACGCGTCATGACGGCCACCAATGAGCTCATTTTTGGACATGGCAAGTTCCAATGCCTCGGGAAGAGAGTCGCTCAGGTTGAGATTGGAAAGTTGGTATTCGAGGTGAGTGCGCCGAAAAAAAAGGGGTGGTGGTGGTGGCGGTGGTGGGAAACCTGTTGTGTGACGTGTGAAAGAAGGGACATGCTGGGCTAACTCTGGATGTTATTATTTCGCTCTAGACGTTCCGCAACTTTGACATGGCTGTAGTTGACCCGACCCGGCCGTGGAGACTGCAGAATTGCCTCGGGCTGCTTCATATTACGGACATGTGGGTGCAGGTTTCGGAAAGGACGATTGCCTGATCATCAATGACGGAGATAATGATGGATGTGCCAGAGGTCTCGCCCTACAAAGCGAGCAGTTTTATGAATGCACATGCATGTATTCCACAGCAGGAAAGTTGGTCACCCGCCATGCACAGGCGGATGCACAGGCGGAGGCTAATATACACAAAAAGCACAAAGTGCATGAATGACAAACACCCATCCCTCGCTGATTCTGAGAGGTCCATCTACGGCCTTGTCACCTTGCGCCTCTTCCACGTCCTCACACGAAACAGGTAGTACAGCGTTGCCGTGCCGAAGACGTTGAAGACCATGTAGCACCAGAAGATGCCGTAATTGCGCCACCGCTCGCCCCAGTAGATCCGGCGAGCAGCCAGGTACTGATCCGCGGAAGAGAGAGCGCAGTACTCGCATCCCGAACTCGCACCGGGGTTGTAGAGCGTGCCGGGAGCCTTGTCCAGGAACATGGCCAGGTACGCACCGCACGACTGCCCAGGGGGCGGATCGAACACGCTCATCTCGCTCGCGGAGCACACGACGCTGCGTGCGTGAAGCGCCGCGCCGGCGAGGCCGCTCACATAGTAGGTAAAGGGGGAGACGCGCCACATGAAGATCCAGAAGCCCGGCAGAGCGTCGGGCGGCTGCATGACGCCGTTGAAGATGAAGGACATGCCGAACATGAGCACGGCCAGCATGGCTCCCAGCGCCGGGTCCGGAATCGCGGCCACCACCATCTGCGCAATCGTGGCCGCGTACATGTAGAACTGAATGACAAAGAGGAGGATCAAGCCCTGGGTGTCCGGGGAGCCGCTGGTGCCGAAGACGGGAAAGTAGAAGCACGCCCATGCGCAGATGCCCAGGAGGACCTGCCACGGCACCTCGACGAGCATCTGGGACAGGATGAAGACCTTCCACGAGAAGACCCTCGACGGGCGCTCGCGGACTTCGTACAGGGCGCGCTGGGCCACGAACTTGGGCATGATCTGGTTGACCAGGGTCGGGAAGATGGTTGCCAGGAGGAAGACGCCAAACAGGGCGTTTTGAAACCCTTGCAGGGTGCTATCGGCCTTCCAGAAGGAGAATCCTATGAACAGGCCCGAGGCGATGCCGAGGGCGAACTTGGTGAAGATGTATTCTGGCTGTCGAAAGTACTGTCTGAACGCACGACCAGCGACATGGACAAACTGGGTGCCGAAGGGCTGGGCAAACTCGCGGGACACGTCCTGATCTGCCGTGCTCTCGGTGCGAGCGACGGCCTGCTGCCTGTTGAGAGCCTCGACTTCCTCGAGCACCTCGTCGTGCTCCGGGCTCTTGCTCCATTGCTCTGCCCAGTCGATACCAGAGTCGTCCCTCCCGGACACCATCTCCAGTATGTATTCCGCAGGATTCTCCCGCTCGCCACACCGTCGCACACCCGCACGGGCAAAGTAATCAATCAGAGTGCTGGACTTGAGCCCCAAGTCTCCAAAGTATACAGTCTTGCCTCCCTGTGCCAAGAACAAGAGGCGGTCGAATGTCTGGAACAGCAGAGCGCTGGGTTGGTGGATGGTAGCCAGCACTGCCTGTCCATGATCGGCCAACCGCCGCAGGAACGCGCAGATGGTCCAGGAGCTCTGGGAATCAAGGCCGCTGGTCGGCTCGTCGAGAAAGATGAGCAAGGAGGGCTTCGCCGCAAGTTCGACCCCAATGCTCAGCAGCTTCCTCTGTTCCACGTTGAGCCCCTCGCCGGGAGAACCGACGACTGCTTCCGCAAACTCGTGCATGCCCAGCATTTGAATCACCTCCTCGACGTATTGGTACTTGTCTGCCTCGGACACGGATGGAGGCTGGCGCAGCACAGCACTGAAGCGCAGCGCTTCTCGCACCGTGGTCGTGCCAAGGTGAAGGTCTTGCTGCTGGACATAGCCAGCTCGTCTCGGAAACCCAGACGTAGTCACTTGGCCATTGACCAGGATGTCACCGGACACGACTCCAATGGAAACCCTCTGCGCAAGAACATCCAGGAGCGTGGTTTTGCCGGCCCCAGATACTCCCATGAGTGCTGTTAGTGTCCCTGGTTTGACCCATCCATTGACATCGTTCAGCAGCCGGCGTGTGCCCTCTTGAACGGGGATGTCATAGTTGAGCGCTCTCCATGTGAGAACGTCTCTGTGTCGAGGCAAGTGGCCCATCTTGTCGTCGCCGGGCGCCGGGGAAACAGACACGGGGTCTTTTTCTGGTGCTTCAACATCACCTTGATAAAAGCGCCTTGGCGCATGGCCGGGGCGGAAGACGAGGGCTTCAGCCTTGGAGGGCCTCCCCTTGCTGAACTCGGTGGCGGTCAGATATGTAACGTGGAAGAAGACAAGAAAGGCAACCAGAATCCCGTAGTTGCGCCACAAGTGAGAGTATTGATAACCATAGTTTGCCTTGAGAAACGCATCACCCGCAATCGACCGCTGGCCAGGCACCGCGCCGACGGCAGCACATATGAAGGAGCTCCCAGTTCCGTAGGGCGGAACAAGCTGGGCGCAGCCGAATTCGCGTCCGTGAAATTCATTGCTAAGGAGACCTTCAAAGGCGTAAAAGATGGGGTTGATCCAGCGAATCCACGCAAACCAGGGGTGCATGTATGACTGAGGTATCATGAAGCCACTGTATACCACAAGGGCAAGTATCAGGATGCCGGCGATGCCCATGGCTTGGCCGACTGTTCTCGTCGCCGCCGCGGCCGAGCGGAAGATTCCAGACATGACCAGGACGGTCGTGATGAGGAAGAGGTAAAAGACGAAGAACGGCCCAGGCTCCGCGCGCAATCCAACGAGAAAATAAAGCACGATGCTAAACAGAGAGCAGCGCAGCAACTTGATGGGCAAGTCTATGATGGAGCTTGCCAGTGCCTCGGTGAACGGGTGCACAAAGGCATATCGGGCGTGCTTTTCGACCACGGGCCTCTGGCTGTACAGCTGCATGATCTCGTTGATGGTGATGAGGCCGTTCATGAGGACGGCAAAGAAGATGACGGCCCCTTTCTGGAAGAAGGCGTCACTGGTGTTGGGCGAGTTGTAGAAGATGGACCCGATGATGAAGGACAAGACGAGCTGGACAACAACGGTGGACATGGTCGTCGGCACGTCGTTGCGCATCCGCTGGAACGCTCGGCGCAGACACAGGCGAATCTGCATCGGGACCGAGAGCAGATACGGACTCGAGGCTCGCGTGTGCCTGGCCTGCTGCTTCTCATGGCTCTCCTGAAACCTCTGCGAGGCCTTGCCGCCGAGCGGGTGCGCACGCTCATACGTTTCCATGTCGGCCTTGAGCTTTGCCGCCTCCTTGCTGCGCCGCCAATAGTCGGCAAACTCTGCCGCTGTGCGAGGCACCTTGTCCTGCATGCCTGGCCGCGGCGTGCGTTCGCCGGGGTTCGTGACGGCCGTGAGAAAGTCTGATGCGACCTGTCTGGAATCTCGGTGCCAGCCCATGTCTTCAAAGTACGCAACCGCGTCGGCGCATGGCCCGGAGAAGATCTCGCGGCCCTCGTACAGAACAACGACCTTGTCGAAGAGGTCGTACATGGACTGCGAGGATTGGTACGCGGCAACAGCGTGACAGGCTCTGCCCAGATCGGCCGACAGCCGCAACGACTTGATGAACTGAAGCGCCGTTGCCGCGTCGAGGCCTCGAGTGCTGTTGTCCCATGCCCCAACGCGGGCTCGGGAGAGAAACATCTCGGCGATGCTGACTCTCTTGCGCTCGCCGCCGCTGACGCCGTGGACGAAGCTGTCGCCGACCTTGGTGTCAAACGTGTGCGACAGGCCGAACACGGCCATGACGACACTGACCATGGTGTCGATGTACTCTTGTCTCGTCAGGTCGGGCGGGCGCTGACGTGGTACACGGGCGGCCGCGGCAAAGGAGAGGGTTTGGCCAACTGTTAGATGCGGGAAATGCTCGTCTACTTCCTGGTTGTAGGCAACCTCGCCGCGGTATTGCCTCGTCATCTTCTTGAAGCTGATTCCCTGGTAATGAATGCTGCTTTCGGGCTCTAGAGTTAGCCCTTCCAGATGTCCGCACAGCGCCTTGAGCAGGGTTGAGCAGCCGCTCCCCGGACGGCCCAACACGAGCAGCAGTTCGCCGCTCCTGAGCAGGCCGTCAAAACTGTCAAGAATACGGCGAGGGCGGCTGCTCTTGGCCCTGCCCAAGACAGCGAGGGCGAGAGAGCGAAATGGAAGCAGCAAGCTGGAGAGGACAGTCTCCTGGAACCGCAACGGGGACCCCGACCCAGAGATGGAAAGATTCGAAAAGATCACGCCCTGCCGCTCCAGAGAAATGCCGGACTTGTTGAGAGACATCAAGGCCCGTTGCGCCCATCGGTAATGGTCAAATGCATGGCTAGTTGGGTCGAACCGGGGATCGTCGTCATTGTCAGACAGGTCGGAGCTGTTTGGTATCGCAAGACCCTGCTTTTCTCTCAAGTCGGACGCAATGCGCACCAGGTTTTGTAGTTCTTGGTGCTCGAGCACTTCGGATGGCCTTCGTTTGTCCGGCATGGTCTCCCGTCCAGCCATGGCGCTTGTGTTGCTTGAGCCAGCCATTTGCTACGACGCAAGTATCGACTGCCGCCGCGCGAGGCACCTGTCCGTCATCTTAAGTACTTTGGCCTGCTGCTCGTGGGAGGGCTTTTACTCCGTCATCTGTCACCGCACATAACCATGACCTGACGGATGTTGTTGCGACGGGACTTGGAGTCGCCGACACGCCGATGGCGGACGGGGGGGACCAATCGAAGACCGGGCGTTACGTGGTGGCTGAATGGGCAGATTTCAAGCCGAGGGAAAAAAAGAAGCACGCAATGTCCTGCATGGAATTTGATGCGATGTGCGACCAATTTTATCGCAAAGACCTACGCTACTTTGACACGGTGGGTTTGGCTTTGCCTCTTCATAGCATTCATGTCATGTTCACCCATCGCTCTTGCCGTGTTGTCCTCGAGTCTGCCGGCATTTGCGGCCGCAGCGGGCCAACGGGAGCTCCGCTTCATCCGCCGCGCCCGACCTCTCCGACCCACCGACCCTCCGCAGTCCGAGCCCGGAAAAGAATGGGTCGCCTTCCGAAGCGCACAGCATACAACCAGAAGGGAGGTGCGCGCAACATTACATGCTTTTGCTCTGGGGTTTCGCGCCGTTCAAACTCCATGGTCCCCTTATCAGCAGCTTAGCCAGAACCAGTCGAGTGATCAGAGTTTACAGGTGACTCATTTTGTGCTGTAAGTCATGTGGATACTACTTTACCAATATTGTCATGCAAGTATATTAAACAAGCTGATGGACAAGACCCATAGACACAAATGATGTGTCAGTTTCAGGCTTTTACAGTAATATGTAGATTCCTGCATTCATAAAACGCTTGCATAATAAATTGTTGGTGTCCCACCTGGATGCTTCCGGTGTTACACGGTGAGGACCCAACAACAAAGCCCAACAAAGGGGGATCCCTAACAAGGACCTCGAGGTTACACAGACAAAACACATGTCCAGCTGGAAGCTTTAGGCAGGATATATAGTGGTCACTTGTCTCCACCTTGCTTTGGAAACCCTAGCACCTTTGATATCCTACAGAAGTAACTTTGGATTGAGTTACTGGCGCCCCAAGCCCTTGTCACAACCGTATACGTAGATGAATTCAAAAAAAAGACGTGTAATGAATTTCCAATCATCGTCAACCCGACCTACATGAACAACACACATTGTAACTGCCAGCGTCCCACTTGACGAGTCGGCACAGAATCAATGTCACGTCCCGCTCCCCCATCACGAACAGGGGAGACAAAGGCCCGTCATCACAGCCTGCTCCCTTTTCTGCCCTTAGCACCATGGCCACGCCCATCATTATCAAACTTGCCACCCCTGCCGGCTCCGCCGTCAAACCTCTTGGCCCCAGCCACGCTCTCGTGCAGAATGACCTTTTCGCCCCGTTCAAACTCGAACCTTAAGGCATCCTCTAGCCCCTTAGCATCATACGCAGCGTAGTGCGCCGAAACCAAATCGGCCCGCATACACTTCTCGGGAAACCCCAGCAAGACACCAGCCAGCCTCCTCGCCTCCCGGACGGCCTCCCCCTTGCCCGCCACCACCCTATTCACCAGGCCAAAGGTCAACGCCTCGTCCGCGCAGACCGGTCGCCCCGTCAGGATCATGTCCATGGCCCTTCCCAGTCCCACAACCTTCTGAAGACGTACGGTACCCCCATCGATGAGTGGGACGCCAAAGCGACGGCAAAACACACCAAACACGGCCGTGTCGTCGGCCACGCGCATGTCCGCCAGCAGAGACAGCTCCAGCCCTCCTGCCACGGCATATCCCGAGACAGCCGCGATGACGGGCTTGGTGAGCGCCATGCGGGACGGTCCCATGGGCCCCATGGCGCCGTTGACGCGGTCGACCGGCTGAGCTGCAGGAGAGGCGTGCTGCCCCTTGGCCACCTCGTGTAAGTCGTACCCGGCGCAGAACGAGTCCCCTGCGCCGGTCAGGATGCACACCCTCTGTGACGAGTCATTTTCAAACGCCCGGAATGCCTGAGCCAACCCAGCAGCCGCCGCGCGGTTCACCGCATTGCGGACATGGGGACGGTTGATGGTGATGGTGGTTACGCCCTCAGGAGACGGCTCATAGAGGACCGGGCTTCCCTTGTCTACCATTTTCGCCAGACGCTCCCGCACACTGGCACAGACTGGGCTCGCCGCGGCCGGAATCTCAATAAATATATGCCAAGGGGTGCTCTGTCCCCTTTCTTTTTGTGACACACTGCTGGCTCGAGACCGGCTCAAGGTTTGATCCTGCGGTGCTCCGTCGGAGAAGCCCGCGGGAGATGCGAGCTGGGCAGACGGGGCCTGGGGGTGCGTCGACGGGTTGAGGAATGTCCCTTTTTTTGCCAAGGCAATGTTTTGATGTAGTGTGCAGACAAGTAGGGGGTGCGATCAGGCAAACGAGGTGAGAAATCAAATCAAGCGCGGGGAGATGCTGCTTTTATACCGAGGCTAAGAGAGCCCGCTTCCACCCCCTCTCCCGTCTTTAACACCGGTTTATTCCCGCTACACACCGGCCCAGCGCAGTAATAGCTTATCTGGATATACGTTTTCTGTTTCCTGCGCTAATAAATTATAACGCTTAATTATTTTATAATAAATAATAAAAGTATAAATAAGCTATTATTACGACCCAGCCACAAGCTATAGCGTAGGTCGCAGGTTAGGCCGGCTATATAAGCCGCGGGACAGCACAGGCATAATAGGTAGTAAATTAATAGTTAAAATAAGCTACTAATAAGAAAGAGTTTATTAGCTATTTAATAAACTTTAAATAAATTTATAATATATATATAATTATAATTTATTAAAACTTTAATAAATAAAAAGTAAATATTATAATATATAAGAACTTTTAAATTTATTTTATAAATAAACTTTAGCTTTT